TCTTCTCTGTCATACAAAAAATACAAGGGGGACCAGCAATTCAAAGATGTACAAAAAAATGAAGGAAATTGCTGCAGAGTTCACAAGTAATAAAGAGAGAAAAATCAACTTGTTACAAATGACGTTGAGTGATGTTAGTATTCTATATTTTCATGTTTTCAGAACACAGGGCGTCAAAAACTGAAAACATGAAAATATAGAATACTAACATCACTCAACGTCATTTGTAACAAGTTGATTTTTGTCTCTTTATTACTTGTGAACTCTGCAGCAATTTCCTTCATTTTTTGGACTCCTCTCTGTCGCCTGGGTATCGGTTGCCATTCCGGGAGGTCCCCAGTCGCCGCCGGGAGGTTGGCAATTCTGCCGCCGGCCGAGACGTGCACAGGGAAGCTGTGGCCCAGCGGAGGGAGGCTGTGCAGCACAGTGCGCCGGGCACTGACAAAGGACCCGGGGTTGCCAGCTTCCGGGTGGGGCAGGATTGCCAATCTCCAGGCGGGACCGGGAGATCTCCCGGGATTTATTTTATTTACTTATCGTTCGCGTTTATACTCTGCCCTCCGCGCGAGAGGGCCGAGGGCGGATCGCAGCACAAGATCAAAGCCACATCAAGACTTCAAGTATATCAAAAAAAGATATCAATAATTTTTGACGATTTAAAACAGGGTGAATTAAAAGCAGAAGGACGGCTGATCTCCCGGCGACAGGGACTCGTTCCCCTGGAGGAAACGGCAGCTTTGGTAGAGAGACTCTCTGGCACCCTGTCCCCACCCAGCGCCCCCTCCCCTTCCCGAATTCCAACTTCTCCCGCTCCGCCCTTGAATCCCCTGGAATTTCCCAAGCTGGAGCCGGCAGCCCGAGATGGCGGGGCACTCTGCACATGCCCAGAGACTCTCTTGCACCTGTTGCAATCGTAGGGGATTTGGAGGTTAGCTGCCCTGACAAAGTACTCTGGGTCGCAAACCTCCAGGCGGGGTAGGGCTGCCAACCTCCAGGCGGGACCTGGAGATCCCCTGAAATTACAGCAAATCTCCAGGTGGCAGGGAAGAAAATGGCTGCTTTGAAGAAGAAGAAGAGTTTGGATTTATACCCCGCCCTTCACTACCCAAAGGAGTCTCAGAGCGGCTTACAAACTCCTTTCCCTTCCCCTCCCCACAACAGACACCCTGTGAGGTCGGTGGGGCTGAGAGAGCTCTGACAGAAACTGCTCTTTTTCAAGAACACCTCTTATCAGAACTACAGCTTGCCCAAGGTCATCCAGCAGGTGCAAGTGGAGGAGCAGGGCATCAAACCCGGTTCTCCCAGATTAGAGTCCGCGCACTTAACCACGACACCAAACTGGCTTTGGAGGGTGGACTGTATGGCGTTCTACTCCGCCAGGTTCCCTCCCCCTGCCTCCATCTCCAAATCTCCCAGGAATTTCCCAATGTGGAGCTGGCAACCCTAAGTCGGGGGCCGGGACATCACCTGGAACCAGTGTTCCCTCTAAGCTGAGTTAGTGTGAGGTAGCTCACTGTTTTTTAGCCTCCAGCTCACACATTTTCATCTTAGCTCAGGGAGGATGGCTCCAGAGCAGACTAATTTATGCAGTAGTCAAATCGCTCACTCACAACTTGAATGCCCAGTAGCTCACAAAGTAGAATTTTTGCTCACAAGACTCCACAGCTTAGAGGGAACATTGCCCCCCACCCACCCCGCATTTCAGCATCAGCACTCTCCCAGGCAATGCCATGAAAGGCCCTTTGGCTTCAAAAGCAGCTTGTGGTGTGGTCTTTGGGGTGTGTGTGTGTGCGTGCTGCTATTCATGCAGTGAAAGTCAAGGTCCCTTTGCATGTACCGCACTAATCGCTGCAAAGTCCGGGGGATCCCAGTTTAAAGACAGTTTGTGTGACGATTAGGCATGGTTTCCTGAGCTTCTTGCAAGACTCCGCTTTTGGCCTTGACGTTCCCAAGAACAGGGCCCTGGAGAAAAGATGTCAAGTCGGGCATGCGTGGGATTTTCCCGCTTGTACGCTGGAAAGGTGAAATTGTTCTGTCCGTCTCAGTTTCTCCTCTGATGAGACCCCATAGTAGTGGTGGTCCTACGATACATTCATCTATTGGTGAGACTCTTTAAGACACACTGGAGCGCCCGTTTGTCTTGAACGGGCTGTAAAGATTGCAACTCGCTGTACAGAATATATCGTCGTGGTCCCTGTTCCACGAAACGCTCTGGTGAGATTAACTAACAAAAGCCGCTCTCCAACGGGCCTTTATCTTTAAAGGTGTATTGAACCTAGAACATTTGTTTAAGCCTGCGTTCCAAGAACTGGTCTGATGGAAAAAGTAAACACAGATTTTTTAAATTGACTTTTTATTGCGCCACAGATGTTGGGGTTGGAGGTGGCTCTGCCATCATTGTACATTAAGTCTTTTCATTTTAGTCGGGAGCTAAGGAAGAAATGGCCCTGACCTAAATAGACCAGGCTAACCCAATCTTGTCCGATCTGGGGAGCTAAGCATGTTCAGCCCTGTTTAGTGTTTATACGGGAGACCACTGAGGAAACCCAGGGTTGCTACGCAGAGGCAAGCAACGGCAGACCACTTCTGTTGGTCTGAGCTGACCTGGAGGGCCCAGGCTAGACCGATCTTGTCAGATCTCTGAAAATCAGCAGGTCGGCACAAGTTAATGCTTGGATGGGAGGCCGCCAAGGAAGCCCAGGGTTGCTATGCAGAGGCAGGCAGTGGCGAACCACCTCTGTTTGTATGATCTGACCTGGATGGCCCAGGCTAGGCCGATCTCGTCAGATCTCGGAAGCTAAGCAGGGTCGGCCTTGGTTAGTCCTTGGATGGGAGACCGCCAAGGAAGCCCAGGGTTGCTATGCAGAGGCAGGCAGTGGCGAACCACCTCTGTTTGTATGATCTGACCTGGATGGCCCAGGCTAGGCCGATCTCGTCAGATCTCGGAAGCTAAGCAGGGTCGGCCTTGGTTAGTCCTTGGATGGGAGACCGCCAAGGAAGCCCAGGGTTGCTATGCAGAGGCAGGCAGTGGCGAACCACCTCTGTTTGTATGATCTGACCTGGATGGCCCAGGCTAGGCCGATCTCGTCAGATCTCGGAAGCTAAGCAGGGTCGGCCTTGGTTAGTACTTGGATGGGAGACCACCGAGGAAGCCCAGGGTTGCTACGCAGAGGCAGGCAGTGGTAAACTACCTCTGTTCTTTTGAGCCCTGCTGGATCAGACCAGTGAAGGTCCATCTAGTCCCCAGGCTAGGCCAATCTCATCAGATCTCGGAAGCTAAGCAGGGTCGGCCTTGGTTAGTACTTGGATGGGAGACCACCGAGGGAAGACCAGGGTTGCTATGCAGAGGCAGGTATTGGTAAACTACCTCTGTTCTTTTGACCTGACCTGGATGGCCCAGGCTAGGCCAATCTCATCAGATCTCGGAAGCTAAGCAGGGTCGGCCTTGGTTAGTACTTGGATGGGAGACCACCAAGGGAAGACCAGGGTTGCTATGCAGAGGCAGGCAATGGCGAACCGCCTCTGTTTGTCTGCCCTGACCTGGATGGCCCAGGCTAGGCAGATCTTGGAAGCTAAGCGGAGGCAGCCCTGGTTAGTATTTGGATGGGAGTTGCTCTGTAGAGGTAAAGGTAAAGGTTCCCTTGCTCGAAAGCCAGTCGAATCTGACTCTAGGGTTGTGGTGCTCATCTCCGTTTCAAAGCCGAAGAGCCAGCGCTGTCCGAAGACGTTTCCGTGGTCATGTGGCCGGCATGACTAAACACCAAGGTGCACGGAACGCTGTTCCCTTCCCACCAAAGTGTTACCTATTTATCTACTTGCAATTTCTTGCTTTCAAACTGCTAGGTTGGCAGGAGCTGGAACTGGAGACGGGAGCTCACTCCGTCATGCGGCACACTCGGGTCTCGAACTGCTGAACTACCGACCTTCCACAGCCTGCAGTTCAGCGTCTTAACCCCTTGAGCCACCGCAGCTCCTTGCTCTGCAGAGGTAGGCAACGGCAAACCATCTTTGTTAGCCTCTTGCCTTCCAAACTCCACCGGGTGGCAATGAGTCAGCTGCAACTCTTCATTTGAACGAGGGCAGCCAATAACAAGCCCTGCCTTACAGTGGCCCTGCCCATTTTCTGACAAGCTTGGCGGGTAACAAGGAAAGTACTGGTGAGCACCATGGGCGCCCACGGGCACCGTGTTGGGGAATCGTGACGTAAACTTTTTTGATTCTGAATTGTTACTGAATGCTCGTATTAGGCCCAGCCTGACTAAGCCCAACAAGCTATTGTGCTTTATGGACTGTTTTGTTGAGAATAAAACTGTTCTAGTTCCCCCCAAAAGCAGAGAACAGAAGACTGGATTCAAAAGAAGGGGGGGGGGAGGAGAATCAGCCCTGAAAGCATCCTTAGGCAGCAGCTGTTTGACCAAAGGTGTGTCCTTGGATTTCAGGAGGCCCGTCGCCCCTCTCCCGTGGCCATGATGCCTGCAGCAACAGTCAAGGCTGGCAGCGTGCCCCTGTATGACCCCCACCTTCTCCACCAGCTGGACTGGAGCCAGAACAGCGTGACCTTCTCTCCGGCCATTTCTCCCGCAGACCCCGGCGACGGTTTGGTCTTGAGGCCGCTGTGCATGGGTGACATCAACCGAGGTATCGTCCCCCTGCACGCTCATTTCCTTTCCTTTCGTCAGCTGAGCTGAATGAAAGTGAGATATCTGTAAGGGCTCGGCACAAGGGATCATAGGCCTTCTGTCGTGAAAATCCTGCCCGTTAGAACATCAGAAGAGCCCTTCAGGGTCAGACCAGGGAGGGCCCACCTAGCCCAGCATCCCGTCTCACACAGAGGCCAGCCAGTTCCTCTGGAGGGCCAACAACAGGGCAGAGAGGCCGAGGCCATCATAAGAACACAGGAAAAGCCCTGCTGGATCAGACCAGTGGTCCACCTAATCCAGCATCCTGTCTCACACAGAGGCCAGCCAGGTCCTCTGGAGGGCCAACAACAGGGCAGAGAGGCCGAGGCCATCATAAGAACACAGGAAAAGCCCTGCTGGATCAGACCAGTGGTCCACCTAATCCAGCATCCTGTCTCACACAGAGGCCAGCCAGGTCCTCTGGAGGGCCAACAACAGGGCAGAGAGGCCGAGGCCATCATAAGAACACAGGAAAAGCCCTGCTGGATCAGACCAGTGGTCCACCTAATCCAGCATCCTGTCTCACACAGAGGCCAGCCAGGTCCTCTGGAGGGCCAACAACAGGGCAGAGAGGCCGAGGCCATCATAAGAACACAGGAAAAGCCCTGCTGGATCAGACCAGTGGTCCACCTAATCCAGCATCCTGTCTCACACAGAGGCCAGCCAGGTCCTCTGGAGGGCCAACAACAGGGCAGAGAGGCCGAGGCCATCATAAGAACACAGGAAAAGCCCTGCTGGATCAGACCAGTGGTCCACCTAATCCAGCATCCTGTCTCACACAGAGGCCAGCCAGGTCCTCTGGAGGGCCAACAACAGGGCAGAGAGGCCGAGGCCATCATAAGAACACAGGAAAAGCCCTGCTGGATCAGACCAGTGGTCCACCTAATCCAGCATCCTGTCTCACACAGAGGCCAGCCAGGTCCTCTGGAGGGCCAACAACAGGGCAGAGAGGCCGAGGCCATCATAAGAACACAGGAAAAGCCCTGCTGGATCAGACCAGTGGTCCACCTAATCCAGCATCCTGTCTCACACAGAGGCCAGCCAGTTCCCCTGGAGGGCCAACAACAGGGCAGGGAGGCCGAGGCCTTCATAAGAACATCAGAAGAGCCCTGCGGGATCAGACCAGTGAGGGTCCACCTAGTCCAGCATCCTGTCTCACACAGAGGCTAACCAGGTCCTTCGGATGTCCAGCAACAGGGCGTAGAGCTCAAGGTCTTCCTCTGATGTTGCCTCCTGGCACTGGGATTCAGAGGTCGACTGCTTCTAAATGTGGAGGTTTCCTTTAGTCATCGTGGCTAGGGGACACTTACAATCCTCCAAGAGACCTATCCTGTTCCTGCCAGCATCCAGAAATGTCCAGAAGAGTCCAGAGTTCAAATTTATTTGGGGAAGCTTTTGCACCTTGTGTGTCTCATGTCTTCACCAGCTGTAGCAGAAAAGTGTTGCCAGAAAGGAAGGGGCGGGCCTTGTGGATCCAGGGAGGGCAAGTTTCCCTCTTACTTCTTCCGTTGCGCATGGGGATTTCCCTGCCCTTGGAAGACCAGGTGGGAACGGCAGGCTCTCCCAGGTCCCTCCGTGCATTTGCTGCTTCAGACGTGTGTCGGAGCCTGTCCCAGCAACACTTGTGCCACGGGGTTTGACGCTGACCGCTGTTCGTGAAGCATGCCTGTAAAAATAATTCTTTTCCGTTGCAGGATTTTTAAAAGTTCTGGGTCAGCTGACGGAAACGGGAGTCGTCAACCCGGAGCAGTTCACCAGTAAGTTGCATTTTTGTCTTTCGCTGGCTGGGAAGCAGTGAGAAGGTTCCGTGGGTTCTGCTGGGTTAGTCTGTTGCTGCCCAAGCAGCGGGTGGGTCTTGTATCCTCTTCCAGACTGGCCCGAAGCTTTTCTGGTCCAGACCCTGCTTGGTCAGCTGCGCGTGACGACTGTCACTTGAGGGGACCCTGCCGAGATCGTCAGTGAGTGACTCAAGAGGTCGACACCAGAGAAATCTTTTCCTTCTTCCTGTCTTTGGTCAACCTGCTAGCTTGTCCGCCATGTGGTTGAAGCACCTCTCTGGGAGAACTGGGTTTGATTCCCCACTCCTCCACTTGCAGCTGCTGGTATGACCTTGGGTCAGTCACAAGTTCTCTCAGAGCTGTTCTCTCAAGGGCAGTCCTCGAAAGAGCTCTCTCAGCCCCACCTACCTCACAGGGTGTCTGTTGTGGGGAGGGGAAGGGAAAGGGATTGTAAGCTGCTCTGAGACTCCTTGGGGTAGTGAAGGGCGGGGTATAAATCCAATCTCTTCTTCTTCTTCTCTCCTAGGAGGACAGGCTGAAGAGTTGGGACTTTTCAGTTTAGAAAAGAGATGACTAAGTGGGGTTTTCATGACGGAGGTTTATAAAATTATGCACGGGCAGGAGAGAGCGGAGAAAGAAATTTTTCTGTCTCCCAAAGTACTCGAACTCGAGGACATCCAATGCAGCTGATGGGCAGTAGGTTCAGGACGGACAAAAGGAAATACCTGTTTGCACAGAGAGTGATTAAAATGCAGAATTCGCTGCCAGAGGATGTTGTGATGGCCACAGGCATAGATCGCTTTGAAAGGGGATTAGATAAATTCATGGAGGTCTATCAGTGGCTGCTAGCCAGGGTGATTGAGGGGAACTCCACATTCAGAAGCAGTCAACCTCTGGATTCCAGTGCCCGGAGGCAACATCAGGGGAAGGTCTTGGCCTCTGTGCCAAGTTGTTGGCCCTTCAGAGGAACTGGTTGGCCACTGTGTGAGACAGGAGGCTGGACCAGGTGAAGAAGAGAAGAGAAAGGATTTATACCCCGCCCTTCACTTGGAGTCTCAGAGCGGCTGACAAACTCCTCTCCCTTCCCCTCCCCACAACAGACACCCTGTGAGGTGGGTGGGGCTGAGAGAGCTGACACAAACTGCTCTTTTTCAAGGACAGCTGTGTCCGAGCTTGTGACTGACCCAAGGTCACATCAGCAGGTGCAAGTGGAGGAGTGGGGAATCAAACCCGGTTCTCCCAGATTAGAGTCTGCACACTTAACCACTACACCAAACTGGGCCAAGGGTCTGACCCCAGCAGGGCTCTTCTGATGTTCTGATATAAGCCGCATTCCCCATTTGCAGCATAAGGGGTCCCCATATCCTTCTGAGGTGCTGTGAAATACCCTCTGAGTAGCCAAAGGTGGGCAGGGCTGCCGGGAAAAAGCACACCACATACATTACCCCTGCTTCTATTTTCACAGAAACCTTTGAGCACATGAAGAGTTCTGGAGACTACTATGTGACGGTGGTGGAAGACACAAATCTAGGACAGATTGTGGCTACTGCGACTTTAGTGATAGAACATAAATTCACTCATTCGTGTGCAAAGGTATGTATATTGCGGTGAAGCACAGCTGTTATCGTAGAGAAGCCCCGGGGCTTACTCTGTGTCGTCAAGTCACTTTCAACTCACAGTGACCCTATGAATGAGGGTCCTCCAAAACACCCCATCAGTGGTTAGGAGCGCGGACTCTAATCTGGGAGAACCGGGTTTGATTCCCCACTCCTCCACTTGCACCTGGCTAGATGACCTCGGGCAAGCCGTAGTTCTGGCACAGCTGTTCTTGAAAAAGAGCAATTTCTGTCAAAGAGCTCTCTCAGCCCCATCCACCTCACAGGGTGTCTGTTGTGGGGAAGGGAAGGGAGATTGTAAGCCGCTCTGAGACTCCCAAGTGAAGGACGGGGTATATATCCAATCTCCTCCTCCTCTTCTTATTTAAATGGCGAAAAGGGGTGTCAAACTCTTTTGTTATGAGGGGCCAGATCTGACATAAATGAGACCTTGTTGGGCCAGGCCGTGTATGTCATAAAAGGTAATGCCAGTCAGTGGTGATATAAATTTATTAAGGGCACAAACACAAGTAAAGGTTTTTAAAACTTTAAATAACACATTTCCAGTGAGTTCGACACCCCTATTCCTATCAGAAGTGTTTTTTTAGTGGTTTGCGTCAGTGGATCCTGTGTGTGTGTTGACTTTGAAGAAAGTCCCATCGAGTTCATGGGGAGCTCAGACTTTGCAGAACGTCCCAAAGCCCCCTTAAGTCCGTTGATCGCTGCCGCCTTAGATTTACTCTCGCTGAGAATTTGTTGCGCATTTCCGCAGAGGGGACGAATAGAAGACGTCGTCGTCAGTGGGGAATGTCGGGGAAAGCAGCTCGGGAAACTGTAAGTATCTACTGGCCGCTGTCGGTGCGGATTCCCAAAGAGGCCAAGGTCCCCTGGTGAAATCAAAAGCGGGTGTCTTGGTCCAGAAAAGTTTCACTCCCGATTTCTCACCCCAAAATGAAGCTAAGCGGAGACAGCCCTGGTTAGTCCTGGGATGAGAGACCACCGAGGAAGTCCGGGGTCGCTATGCAGGGGCAGGGCATGGCTGACCACCTCTGAACATCTGGATGGCCCAGGCTAGCTCTGGGTCCACCCCGATCCGCATTTGGATGGGAGACCACCAAAGCAGTCCAGGGTCACTGCACAGAGCCAGGCAGTGGCAAACAACTTGTGTTTGTCTCCCACCTTGAAATCCCAGGGGGGTTACCATCAATGTTCCCTCTAAGCTGTGGAGTCTTGTGAGCAGAAATTCTACTTTGTGAGCTATGGGCATTAAAGTTGTGGGTTGAGCGATTTGGGTACTGCAGACATTAGTCTGCTCTGGAGCCCTCCTTCCTGAGCCGAGACAAAAATGTGTGAGCCGGAGGCTAAAAAACTGTGAGCTGGCTCACACTAGCTCAGCTTAGAGGGAACACTGGTGACCCTAAATAGTCTGTGACTCGATGGCCCTTTCCACCACTGGGCCTTGTCTCTGTGCCCCCAACCTGCAGAAACGCAAGAGGGGTGGGGCACTTGAGAGAGAGAGCTTTTCCAGGCACCAAGTCTTGCTTCTTGGCACCAAGTCCAAACATTTCTTTACCGGGGCTTCCCAGCCTTATTTTACTTGCTGTCGAGGGCAGTTCCACGGTTCCCATTCTGTGCTCCCTACTAAAAAATGGGTTTTCTATGCGGCTGAATATTGTCTTGTCGAAGGTTGCTTCCTTAGCAGTTGCCTTGGCTTGCGTCATTGCCGGTTTTGTGGTGGGAGGGTAGATCGGTGTTTACCCTGCAAGCTTTCTCGAGGCAAATCTCTGAAGAGGTGCTTTACAAATTTTCTAAATAAATAAGACCTGGGGGTGGGGTGGGGGGAGTTTCGGCCACTCTTGAGCTCCTGAGGGACACAAGTGCAATCACAAAAGTATAAAATTATTCCTGTCCGGCTGAAAAGTGTAAAGGCAAGCTCAAACTGGGCGTTTCTGTTTCCCGGGTGCCCTGCCCGCACGGAGATTTCCAGCCCTTTTCAGGACGGCTTCTGTGGGTTTCCCACCTGCCTCAGGTTCTCGATCCCCTTCGTGTGACTGATGCTGTGCTTGCTCTTCCAGTGGCTGCAGCCACCCACCCCTGCCTCTGCATTTGCACCTCCTTGCCACTTTTCTTCACCTTCCGCAAAGGCATGTTGGAAACTGTGTGTGCCCCCTCCCCTCTCCTGTCTTGATCTGAAGCGTGTCCATTTGGCAAGGCTGCCAGGCTCTTGGTGGAACTTGGAGATCTCCCGCTGTTACAGTGGTTCTCCATATGACCAAGATCCCGCCCCCTGGAGAAAATGGCTGCTTTGAAGGGGGCAAGACAAATATGGACAATCACGACCTAGTCTGGAAACAAATACTGAGAAAACAGTCGTGGGAATCTGACCCACAAATCAGAATTGTCCACAAGACTTACAACGAAAATAGTTTCTATATATTGTTGCCAGTAAGCACTACAAAATAATCAACAAATTCCATCAAATCATAAGAAAATCCTTGTGTAAGAATACATCAACGTCGTCCCCCGGATTTCATAACGGCGTTCCAAAGAGTGGATCTTCCTCAGGAAATATTCTACAAAGCAGTACAAGAGCTTTCATGCTCATAAAGTGCTGTAAACTTTGAAGGGTAGACTGCGTTGGCATTAGGGGTGTGCATTCGGTAAAGCTGAACTGGGGAAAAAAACCCAAAAAACATTTTCGGCATTTTTTGGGTATTCGGCATACCGAATCAGATCCCCTGGTGCTGCCTGCCCTTTTCTCATTCCCATTGGAAACAATGGAGAATTGGGGCACACTCTTTGGATGCCCCTAGAGTTGGACCCCAATACAATCTTTTCCAAACCTGCAGGGTCTTTTGGGGAGACGCTCCAGCATCTACAGTATAAATTTGGCACCTCTACCTCAACCCCTCCCCCAGCCCCCTGAATACTTAGAAGATTTTTGCCATTGACTACAAGGGCCCCATAGGATATAATGGAGCCAAAGATTTTCGGGAATACCGAAAATTTTCGGGTACCAATAGAATACCAATATTGGTATTCGGGTATATTTGGAAATCCCAGAAAAATTCAGGTTTATTATACCCAAATCCAAAAAGAACCAATTTTCCCCCCTGCAACCCTCTAATTGGCATTATGACCCGCACAGATCCATGCCCTGCCCTCACTAGGCTCCACCCTCAAATCTCCAGGAATTTCCCAAACCAGAGCCGGCAGCCTTATTGGGGATGGTGTCACAGCACTGACATGTGCAGAAAGATTGTGGTTTCGCACGTGCCCTCGTAAAAGCCTCACACCCCTCCTGTAAGAACCTCGGCCAACCCTCCTTTTTTGAAGCCCCCCTTAACACTATTTTTTCCCCTCCTCTGTTTAGATTGACCTCTACTCTTACATTGCTGAGCAAGCGACTGAATTGTTACAAAATCACACTGGAGTGTCTGCCCAAAAACGTAGCATTTTATAAAAAATTTGGATATTCGGTATCTGAAGAAAACTACATGTATCAAAGATTCTTCAACTAAAGACCTGCTGGCTATAATCTCTTGCGACAGACTGATTGGTGGGGGGAAACTGAGTTACTGTCTTTATTCTCTTTGTGGAAAACAAATATTTACTGTAGATGGAACAATCACCTCTGAAAATGGGACAAAAAATATCTAAATGCTGCAGGCAGATTCTTTTAGGTTTCTTTACAGACGGCGAAACCTATTTTTCCTACTGTTCATACTATGTGGTGTTTTTTGTTAATGGGGAGTGGAAGAATATAACGGAGGGAGATGGTTTTCTAAACCAAAGGGTATATATATTTTTACCTGATACATTTTCTTGCCTCGTATTTTTCTAAAGTTCGATGCTGCTTTTTCTGGGTAGCCAAACAAGTTCCGACGAGTTTGGGCTGACTTCTGCAATTTCTCTCCCTTTGGAATGGTGAATGCAAACTCTTTGTCGGGCTTAACGGTCACTGCTGTTGTCATGAATGTACCTCAACATTTAACGTGCCCTTGAAGAGTCCCAGGGCAGTTTCCCAACTGGGATAGCTGGTGCAATTGGTTCTGTTTTAGCCCAAAGTAACAGAGATTAGGATACTTGCTTAACACCTCAGATGACCCCACAGTTGATGCCTACAACAGGATGTGACAATTCTCCTCTCTACGGAGAGCAGAGAATTCCCGGTACACACATACACGCCTTACCTGCTTGAACTTGTTGGTGTTTATGTTTGCGGGTGAAAGGCTCTGCCGTGTTCAGCGCATGCTACGTATCCAGAATCATGTTCTCAGGAGCTCGGTGGGATTAGGCACTTTACATAGATCATTTTAGCACTTTGTCAGTAGTCGACAATAAACGTAGGACAAATCCACCCGCCATACTAAGTTCAGGGCATTGTGAGCAAATGAAGGCTATCGCTGAACCACACAGAGGGCTATTCTCAGCTGGGGGGGGCTGTTACATTTCATTGTGGTACTTAATTTTTCACGGAAGAGATTTGTTCTATTTATTCAATTTTAATAAATGTCATTTTGAATCTAATGATTGTTACCTCTGTGCTCTGAATGTGCTGTGGTCTGAAGGCGTTTCCGTCCACCTGGGGAAGCTGTGCTGTTTGTCTGAACGTGTGCAGTAAACTTTGGAGATGGTCTACAACTAAAATGTCAAATCTGTTCGCTTAAAATATCTTTTTGTTCAGACTGGAGGGATCTTCAAAGGAGTTTACAAAATCTAGTTATTTAGAGAGGGGAACCGTAGTTGAAATTGCTGAGCAGTCAAGTTAGAATGGATAAAAGGAAGTCCTTCTTCTTCACCCAAAGAGTGATTCACACATGGAATTCACTGCCACAGGAGGTGGTGGCGGCTACAAGGATGGACAGCTTCAGGAGGGAATTGGAGAAACATATGGAGCAGAGGTCCATCAGTGGCTATTAGCCACAAGGTATAGGTAGGAACTCTCGGTCTGGGGCAAGGGATGCTCTGTATTCTTGGTGCTTGGGGGGGGCAACAACAGTGGGAGGGGGCTTCTGGTGTCCTGGCCCCACTGCTGGACCTCCTGATGGCCCCTGGTATTTTTGGCCACTGTGCGACACAGAGTGTTGGACTGGATGGGCCACTGGCCTGATCCATTCTCTTGTGTTCTTATAGTTGGTGGGCACATACTTGAGTCATGAACACACAACCGTGCCTTATATAAGTCAGGAGGTCGGTCTGTCAAGGTCAGTCTTGTCTGCTTGGACTGGCAGTGACTCTCCACGGTCTCAGGCAGAGGCCTTGCACATCACCAACTGCCCGGTCCTTTTTACCTGGAGATGCCAGGGACTGAACCTGGGACGTTCTGCATGCCAAGCAGAGGCTCTACCGGTGAGCCCCAGTCCTCCCCACGTTGCCCCATCTGTTGTTCCTCCTTCAGACCACAATAGCCTTAACCCCGACGGGCTGCTAAGCTTATACTCACTTGAAGGGGTGGGGGAGGGGCTTCTTCGAAGTGCTGCCACCATTCAGTCTAGCGCCGCCTTTCAGGGCGGCAGGGGCCGAGGCGGTCCCAGGCAACAGCGGCCCGTGTCTTCTTCCCCCTTGGCCAAGGACTTCCTGCCACTTCTGCTCTGCTGGTTCTTCCCGCCTGCCACAGAGCAAAGTGCTTTGTCTTCAGTGCAGAGGAAGGAGGATTGACGTCAGACTGGAAAGACTGCCCCGCGGAGGTCTCTTCCCATCCAGGAAGGGTCGAACTGGACCACAGCAGTGCCAGGGACCATCAGCAGCTCACGCTCAGCTGAGTTGCGGTGCTCCCCTCTTCTCCAAGAACCTTCCCACTGACGACACTCTTCGTGGCTGGGCAGTATCCAGCACTTGGGCTAATTGCTTATTAACTTGGTTAATCGGACTCATTGGTTATGATGAGGGCCGGATCTGACACAAATGAGACCTTGTTGGGCTGGGCCGGGTGTGTCATAAAAGGTAACGCCAGGTAGTTCGACACCCCTGCCTTAAGCATCCTATTAGATCAGACCAGTGAGGGTCCATCTAGTCCAGCATCCTGTCCCACACAATGGCCAACAGGTTGCCCTAATGGACGAGGCCATCTGTTGATGCTGCCTTCTAGAACAGGCATCTAGAAGCGGACTGTCTCTAAATATGAAGGTTTCCTTTAGTCACCACAGCTAGCAGCCATTGAGGGACTTGTTCTCCAGGGTTCTGTCTAATCTTTTAAAGTCATCTCTGCTCATGGACTACATGGGCATTGAGCTCCACCACTGAATTACTGGATTTCCTTCCGTTTGTCCTGAATATAATGCAGATGAATTCTTAGACAGTGTCACAGATGCAACGAACATGAAATTGAGCAAACATCAGAGGACGGCGGAAGACAGGAGGGCCTGGCGAGATCTTGTCCATGGGGTTGCGAAGAGTCGGACTCGACTGTGCGACTTAACAACAAAAGTACCTGCACACTTTCTCTACGCTGTGCATGACACGTGTCATGTCTTCCCTCATTCGTCTTTCTTCAAAACTATATAATAAAGTCCCAGACTCTTTAGGGAAAAGTGATCCCCAGGGATCGTGGCTGCCCCTCTTCTGCGTTTCTTCCAGAAAGCCATCTCTTTTTTGCGATACGGTGACTAGAACAAACACCACATCCCCAAGGATGTCATCTGCAATGCTCCCTCTAAGCTGTGGAGTCTTGTGAGCAAAAATTCTACTTTGTGAGCTACCGGCATTAAAGTTGTGAGCGAGCGATTTGGCTGCTGCATGAATTAGTTTGCTCTGGAGCCCCATCCTTCCTGAGCGAAGGCAAAAATGTGTGAGCCGGAGACTAAAAAACTGTGAGCTAGCTCACACTAACTCAGTTAACTGGTCACATGGTACCTCTGTACAGCTCCATTACAATACTGGCAGTTTTCAGTTCTTTTCCCAACTATCCCCAAC